CGACGCTTTGCGATGAATTATCCCGTCGCGATGGATTATGTGACATCATTTTTTGCAGAAGTTGTGAGCGATGTATAATCGCCTGCGGATGGTGTAAATAATTCAATAGACTTATGGCGTCAAAGCCAATACCTGCACTGTTTCTCGAAGCATCTACTACGAGTGGTGATTATTTAAGCATTTATTGAACTTTAATGACTGAACATTATTAAACTGTGTTGATGTTAGATTTGGCATCATTCTTATCAGATTCCGGTGCAAATTGTACGGCTGTCGTTTCCTCTATGATATACCAGCGTCTTGCGGAATGTGCAATAATGTTTTTCGATGAGAACAAGTTGTCAAAAATTTGAAAGTATTAACTTAAAATTAATTCAAAATATAAACTTCGTATTCTAATATTCGTATTCTAACTTAAAGAACTGTTTCAAATAAACTTCGAAGAGTAATTTTGTTATCTGTTAAATCCCTCCTTGCTCCGCTGACACTCTTTGGGAAATTTCAATGTATATAGGTACCACACTTTGTTCCTCATTAAGGTGACAAACTCGCACCTTGTTAGCAAGTAAATCGCATCTATTCGGTCTCCCTATAGGAGATATCAATATACGTTTTTATGCAAGACTATATTCAGTACTTGCATGAGCTTTTAAAAAAAAAGTCGCCTTAAACTGACTTTCTAGATAAGCGATTAACTGGTAACTTTCTAGATAAGCCTTATTTAAATTGAACTTAGATTTGCAATAACAGGAAATCGCTTAAATCTTTTGTTTATTGCATAAAACTTGAAGCAAAAGTCTTTAGTTTTTTATCACCTTCTTTAAGATCACCATTGGCTGTGTAAGTAAAATAGAACGCACAATCCACGGGGTACCCCTGTAGTTTGAACACTTCTAAAGGTACAAATGCGTTCTTCATAATTATTCACATCATGCAGAGCAATGGCAAGATAAGAAGTTTTAGATTTTACTTGCATATGGGTTGAAGAGATAGCAAATTTGTATGTTGAGGTTCAGTCGCGGAGTACAGCAAGCATAAAGGAGGTTTTGAAGATGGTTCATCAGCATAACTTTCAAAGCACTGGGGATGTGAATGACATAGAGCACAGATAATTTCCCAAAATTTGAATTTTCAGTTGGGACTCAGTGAACTTACACATATTCCTGACAATGACTAATGAAAAATTGTTGCTTTGAAAGATAAGCTTTAGAAGAATGCAGTCAATCTCACGGATTTCAATTACGCTGTTGATCTGCTCTAAGAGAGTATATATACAGTCACTATCTTTCTATGTACCAGGTACAAAGTTTTTCTGTCTCGAATAAAATTTGTGTTTCACGAGTAAGCGGCGAAATTACACCATTACCTACAGAGTTCATTAATATTTCATGTTATTAATAGGAACATAACATCCTTTCGATCCATTATTCAACATGCTTCCTGTGCATAACGACGGCTGCCACGTTTCCATGGCAACTTCAATGAGAGAATCATTAACCTCAACACTTCAAAAGCTGCAAAATTGTCTCTTCTCCAGATATAATAACAAATCCTGAATATATTCTTGACTGATCTACTACATCACGATGAGTACCGAATTCAAGAAGGAGCTGACCAATCATATTATTGAAAAACTACATGAGACAGAATCCTTCAAATTTATTCAGGTATAATTTTTATTGTATTATTTTATCAAAATACTCAATTCTTTTATTACTCTTTTTTAAATATACCTATTTCAAAGGAACTTTTTAGAACAGTACTATACAAAAAAGCCTTTAAATGCGATCAAACTTTTTGTTATGATGGAACCCTTTTTTTGGTAAACGAAAATTTATGATTTTGTCTTGCCTGTGGTATATGCTGATAGATCAAAGGCAAAGTGGAACTAAACATTCAAGAGATTCTGTAAAAAATTATCATCCGTCCTTTTACACGTTGACAGCTGTAGAAGCACTTACACAATTATTTTGGTTTGATTCAATAACTTTCGAGTTTGAGTAGTAGAACGGAAAGATGTGAGGCAATTTCCTATTTTTATAAATATCGCTCACACTGGAAAAAAAGCTTCGTAAGTTTGTTCTATAAATTCTCTGTAGAAACTTATTAATAATACTACATGGTGAATCATACAGTTCAAAAACAACGTTAGAAAAGAGTCAAAACATAATTATAGCTACGTACAACGCAGGAAATTTCGTTGTTCCTCTCTAACAATATAATTTTCAAGCAAACGTCGCTAACACAAGGATTTCAATCTGATGTTCAGATAAATTGACCATATTTTAATCTTAAGTACCATTTTATATGTTTGAAAAAGACAAAGATTATGTCGTAGTCTACCAAAGAATAAATCTGATTTATTCTTATTTTTTACTTTCACGATTCCAGATTATTTGCTCAAAACTATTTTGACATTTGAGATTACTGCAATTCTTCATTTTCTGAAGCTCAATGAATCAGATTGCTCTGTACGAATGAGCAATTTTACATGACGAAAAGAAAATATAAATTTGGAAGCAATTTCATTTTCTGCAAAAAAAAAGATTTTGGCTATGAACAAATGCAAAATTAGATAACATGAAGCCGTATTTCAATTTTTTTAATGGATTTTGGAGCAAGATAAAAAAGAGCTGAAATGGAAATGAAATCAACTAGAAATTCCTAAAATCCATTTCTTTGTTCGAAAACCTTCATCGACTCTTTTTATTGGAAATGGAGGATTTATGCAAAATCTTTTCAAATGCATTCTTAGATTACAAATGTAGTGTTTGCAGATTGTAGCTGATTTCAGCACTGCTTTTAGTTTATAAGACATTTTTGACTTTAAGATTTTCAGAGCTTAATCAGAGAGTCTTTGCTAAGAATAGTTCGACCAGAAGCGATACAAATCAAGAAACTTAACGACCAAGGTT